ACCCGTTAAAAATAATTGGTAGTTATGGATTTTTATTATTCCCGGAAAAAAAAACTAAAAATTGAAATTTATTGGTTACCAGTTTTTACTCCTGTGCGCCGCCCGATGAGACAATCTAGCGTGACCCACCGGTGGGTCACCCCGGCGTGAACGTGTTAAACTGCACTTTAAATGTCGAAAAGTGACTTAGAGCTATTTCTAATTTTTAACCATTATCAAATCTCTCATCTCGTTAGTGAGACTTGTAATAAGACTGCTAAACCTTAAGAATAGTGTTTAAAATGAATAAACTATTCTTCGATATAAATTTTTAATTAAACTTATTTTTTTGTCGGAGAAAAATCTCAATTTATGCGTGAATCAATCAGATAGATACGAAATTATTCCAGTAAATTTAATAAAATTTAATATTCTTATGATGGGATTAATTTCCCTTATTCCAAAGAAGGAGAAAGTGGCGAAAAATATTTAAGTGATGAGCCTTCTAGTTATTTAAGTAGTGATGTAGTAATTATTGGTTAGTAATGTGATTTGATAGACCAGTTTGTCCTAGCGGCTTCATTGTTGAAAGCTTTATCCGAACCAATTTTCCATTTCTAAAGAATTAAAAAAGAAAGTTTATTGATCCCCCACCCCCTAAAAAAAGTAACGCAGTCTTAAAAAGTTAAACTTGAACTCTGGTGATCAAAATCATGGACACTGTCGGAATTTTTTATGTTTTTTAATTTTGTGCGCTTATAGAAAATCTCACGTTTCACAAAATGAAAATCTCGTTGATATCAATTTAAAGAGAATTTAATACTGAATTCTATCAAAAATCAAACGTGAAACGTAACATTTTCTGTAAAGATACCAAATTAAAAAGCATAAACATATAAATATTTCCAAAAGTATCCAGAATTTTCACCACTGGAAAACTGTTACTATACTTGTAACAGTTCAAAAGTTCAATCACATTTTTTATTCTGCTATTAAGTGCTTGTTTTATGTTACGCATGGTCTGCTTATTCACTTAATCATAAATACTCAATATTTTATGAGGATGGTATTTTTTAAGGAACAGGTAGAAAGGATTAGGTAACCCGTTTCTAAATTGCACAATTTGCAGACCCTATGAAAATAATTAATTTTCAGTACGTACAGCCTAAATATTAATTCTTAAAAAATATATATATATGTGGCAAAAGGAATATATTTCATGATTAAAATATTTCAAATGTCAGTGATCTGAGACTGAATAGAGTTTAAACGTGAAAATTGGTATGATTTAGGAAACTTTTCTTCACATGCTGTGGAAATTTAAAGTTTAGCGTATGAAAATAGAAGAAGTTCTTATGTTTGATAATATTGATAACATTATATCGATGCACGTATCAGTAAGCAAAGTCTGGATCTAGCTGTTTATATGAGCTTCGTTTATAGGACGAAGTATTCACACGTGTCTATACAATACAGACTGTTTCTGTAAAAAATGAAGGAAATAAAAAAAATGTAAAATTTTTCTGTGGTGTTCATCTATACACTACAGTGAAATAATTTTGTGTAAAATTTACTGCATTTGTGCAAAAATCTAAGAACACCTATTCTTTAAACTGAAATTATCACTCATTTAAATATCAGATTTATTTTTCTATAAAAATATTCTTTCCTTTTTATTTCTGCACAATTTAAAAATTTATAATTTTAGTAAATTTGGCATTTTAGCAAGATTTAAAATTTAAATGCGAGATCAGTGGCGCACGCAAGGGAGGGGTTTAGGGGTTTAAACACCCCCCTTGAGCTCAGACAAAATGGCAAAAATAAAAATTTTAGTAGAAATTATGCGGGCTATTATTTTTTAAGACTATATATTTTTATTTGCCTTATGCCTACTTTTTTTTCTCACGGTATTTCTCAGAATACTGAAAAAACATTTACTATAATAGGGTTGTACTTTTGAAACCAAATTCACGTGATACTGTTACGGACTGGTTCCTTTCTGTCCTGCCAGTATAGTTTTCGAGACTGGCTGTCATTCGCGAGGTCTTTACGCGATGATTCTGGAATCCTAGACGTTCTGTCGTCTTTGAGACAATTCGAGAATTTTGGAGATGCGGTGAAAAATTATATAAAAGGGGGAACGGAGTACAGTGGAGTTAGTTAGTCAGACTAAGAGTTATCTCTGCCGCTTGTCTTTCGGAGCTTGTCGCTAAATCTGTTTTGATTTATCTCAACAAAAAGTTCATTCAATCGCCGAACCCGTCGTCGCCACTATTTCGACTAGTGAAGAAATCAGTAACAATACCATTGGAGATACTGTGCTCGTTGAAGTTATTCATTCCAGCTCGAAACTTTGAGATCGTAGCATAGCGGATATTTCTGTGCCAATATATATATATATTTGCTGTTCTTGGATCTTTAGGATTTAACAATTTTTAACACAAGAATTTAGCAATTTTTAATTATTTTGAGAAAAAATCACGATCTGAAATTAGTGAGGTGACAGCATCTAGTACCAATGTAAGTTTTTCTGTTGTACAGAAATGTGATACTTCCGTTGAAGAAAACGTTTCTAGCATAACAAAATCTGATGAATGTGAAAGTGGCCCTCAAAGTGTTACTTTCCACCCGTATGACACTGGACTTTTTTCAGAAGATATTACATTATGTTCTTAAACTTAAAAAATCAATTCAAAATTTAACTAAACAATGTTGTCTAAATAAAAAGTCAAAATTTTCTAGCTGTCTAAATTAGGGAAATAACAGTGCTTTATTACAGATTTGAATTTCTTATAGTAGTTTCAGAAAATTATGAACACCCCCCTTGAAAAAATTCTGCGTACGCCACTGGTCTGGATCTAACTGTTTATATGAGCTTCGTTTATAAGACGAAGTATTCGCACGTGTCAATACATCACAGTCTGTTTTTGTAAAAAAAAAAAAGGGGAATAAAAAAATTTAAAATTTTTCAGTGGTGTTCTTCTATACACTACTGTAAAATAATTTTGTGTAAAATTTACTGTATCCGTGCAATATCTAAGAACACCTATTATTTCAGCTGAAATTATCTCTCATTTAAATATCAGATATATTTTTCTGTAAAAAAATATTCTTCCCTTTTTATTTTTGCACAATTTAAAAATTTATAATTTTAGTAAGTTTAGCAATTTAGTAATTTTAGCAAGAATTAAAATTTAAATGCGAAATAGTATATAATTATTGATTTAAACGGCTCCAAAAGCTTTAAAATGGGATTTGTATTGCTCTCAAATCACTGAACTGGTGCTCTACATTGCAAAAACTTCTGGATCAAATTATTTTTGGGTACATCATCCGTAATATCTATTTTTCTCGTAGAATATTATAAGAAGTATCGGCGCCCTGAGTGCCGGTACTTTTTACCATAATATGATATATTTTTTGCAGTGCAGATTGCTTCAAAATCAATGAAAGTTTCAACCAATTTGTAACACATACAAAATCATAAACTTAAAAAGACTCAGTTTCCAATTGAAATACCAGATAGAAGGAAATTCATGATTTAATGTCTCTAAAATGGTATTCGGAATTTCTCCAAAAACACTTACGTAATTGGTGCCCTGAATAGTTCCAAATTACAGAGATTGCACAGTTTGTCACTGATGATCTCTTACGGACAACAAAATTCGATACAGTTGTCTGGACCAGAGGGTTTCAAATAGGGTTCCACAGTACCATAGGATTTCGTGAAGGAGTTATAAGGGATTCTGTTAATTAGGAATGTTTTTAAACAGTATTTTTTAACGATTTTGAAACCTTTTGTAATTATTAACGGAAACTTTTAGATTCAGTTAAAAATCCATTATTCATCTTGTATTTTAGTTGTCTCCATGAAATTATTCATGGTAAAATACCAGTAAAAAAGACGTGACAATATTTAAAGAAATTTTTTTTTTGGAATAACAATATATGGAATGGAAATTAATTGCAGAAATTATTATTTTTAAAAAATTAAGCTATCATTTCCCATAAACCTCTTCAAATCGAATTTCTTAATATAAAAATATGTTTCGCTAATAACCATTTTTAGTACTTCTAGCAGTTCTTGTTTTTAAGTTTTCATTCAATCGAAAACCATAATTCGGCTTATTAAGTTTCATCTTATGGATAGACACCAAAAACAAATTCATTACTAGAGTATATTCAGCTTTTAGACTGTGAATTAAACGGTCGGATATAAAACATAATTTAAGATACATAACAAAAACGTAATGGTATAACGAAGAAAAAATCTTCAGTCCTCTTATTGTTATTTTATTACCGTCGTTGAACAGCCGAACCAATTTTGAATTTACGTCTATTATGTTCAATTCCGTAACCTTGAAATTTAGAATCCAATCCAGAAGACAAGGAAACTCTTGAATCAAGTATTGGGAGAAATTTGCTTTCGTGGGGGACTTTTCGATGGCACTAACCTGCATTTGCTTTTTATGGAGGGAAAAAACACGAAAACCACCCATGGTTAGCCTGGCAGCAAGGAGACTTTAACCCATGATCCTTCTACCACTGAGGATATTTCACGTCAACACTGTAGTCAGCGCGAGCCGGGTGCGGGATTTGTATCAACCAACCCTCTCAATCCTCCGATTAAATATTTTCAAAATATCATAAACTTTCATTGGTTAATAAGTTTACAATTGTCCTTATATACTTTATTTACATTATACCTTTAAAAAAACAGATCATTTAGGGTTCCATTGCCGAAAAAAATTGGAAACTGTTGGTATAATTAACTAGCTAAATTGCAAATAGTAAATGAAAAGAATATTATATGAGTATTTTAAAGTGTGAAAAATATTCGTAATGATATTTCAAAGATTTCATTGATGTTATCCTTCCATAAAACATGAGTCAACGCTATATTATTATTTTTTTATTGGACTAAACATATTTTCCCAATATTCAAGTATGCAAATATTTAATGTTTTGAGAATTTTAACAAACATTAAAATATGCAAAATAATAATAAAAAGCAAACTTACTTTCGTTCCTATGCTAGCCATTTTATCGGTATCCAATTACTATAATTTCACCCGTAAAAGTCATCACAGAAAATGAAAGGAAAGGCTTGTTTGCGTCCTCATTCTTGGTTATAAATTAGACCTGAATTTGACCTGAAGAAGGCGGGGAATTGAAGTAATTATGCCAAAAGCGTCTTATTAAAGTATTTGACCTTTGAGTAGTTTTAAAAGTTAATTTAACTTAGTAAAGTTAAGGGATTAGATTTACAGTAATATTTAATATTTAAAGATGGATTAAAATATTTTCATTGCGGCTATCCTCAGAACGTTTGACCTTCTTCGATCCGGTTTTGTTGCTTCACTTGATAATGTTTAAAAAAACAACAAAAAAACTTTTTTCTTCTCTTTTTACTGACAACAAAGGAAAAATTTGTAAAAAATACATCAATCAGTTTTCTTTATAGTTTGACGAAGCATCACTCTTCAAAATCCAAAATTATTAAAAATTGAAAAATTACGATGTTTAATTTCCTTCAAAAGACTTTATACCTGTTAGGAATACTAACTAAGCATATTGGAGGACAGTAAATTTGAGTTATTTTTAAATTACTAATAAATAACAAATTATTAACTATTCTTAAAAGTAGAATCATTGCACGAGTAAAAATTATGTATATTATTGGAGTAGTGGCCGTTGAATTTGCAACACTTGCCACTCCAACATTGTTTATTTGAAGTTTCTTTCCTTTAGCTATTAAATTATTAAGTAATATTTCATACTTAGTTGTAACATCAAAGTTAAGAAGTTGCGTGATATATTATCTAATTATTTTTCGAAAGATTAAGTTTTTTTTTCAATATTTGGATGTTGATAAGATTTTATACTTTTTTTAAAAATATAAATGTAGCAAAAACGTCACGTGTCCAGTAATTGCGCAACAGAAAATGTTATACATTGAATTTTTAATTTTTTAAAATTTATTTTGAGTAAAAATATAAATATATGTTTCAATACTTTTCGCCATTAATTGCGTTAAAAAGTTTCTAAAGTTACAATTTTACCCTTTTCTAAAAAAAAAAGTTTTTCAAAAGATGAAAAATCATTAATTTCGTTATAGCATTTAATTCAGTTACTAGTAACTGTTTATGATATGTATTGCTTTAAAATTTTGCAGATAACGCTGACAAAATGATTCTATAAAATTATATTTAAAATATTAATATCATTTAAAATTTAACAAAATAAAAATAATTAAATTAAATAAAGAATATTATAATTATTATATATTAAAATGAGCAAAAGTATATGTTTTACTTAAATCTCGGTACTTAATATTTATTTTGTTATTTAAAATGTATCTCGCTGGTCACGTTACAGTGTTATACCATAAAAATCATTACCATTTTATATTTTTAAAGAACTGTTTTTTTTGTTGTAAATATTATGCACAAAATAAAGTAATTTAAAAATTATTACTTTTCTATTAATATTGTATTGCTGTAAATATTTTCTTAATTAATAAATATTGCTATGAAATTATTATTATTTTATAACAAAAATACAATAAGAACTTGACTTTTTAAAAATAGTCATTATTTTTTTAAATTCATTTTGCTAATCGACTATATAATAATTACGATTTTTTGAAAAAGAAAATTCGGCTAAGTAGTTAGCATTTCCACGGAGAGTTTTATTATAATTTAGTTTCAAAAGGTAGAAAGTAATTTATTTCTCATTAATTATTCTTTGATAATATTTCATTGCGTAAATCTCAAAGATTGCAAAATGTCTTGACGTCATAAAACACACACGCAAAAGAATCGTAAACCTTCGGGCAATCAGCGATCAAAATTACCTTCGAGTCACTGGGTCAACGATTATAGTCTGTATTTACAAAGCTTAAAAGGTCAACCACTTTTTTTTATGAAAAAGGGGGGATGTGATCATTAACTTTATTGAATAGCTGAAATCGTAGAAAAAAGTCTATTGTTAATGTATTTCATAAAGATAGAAGCGTTTGATTCTTTGAATTTTATTCCGATCAAAGCTTAATGCCAACTTGNTAGCAATTTTCGGGGGTTGGCGAGCGTTAGCGAGCAGGGGGCGCAGCCCACTAGTTACTATATATTAAAATGAGAAAAAGTACATCTTTTACTTAAATCTCGGTACTTAATATTTATTTTGTTAGTTAAAATGTATCTCGTTGGTCACGTTCCAGTGTTATACTATAAAAATTACTACCATTTTAAATATTATAATAACTATTATTTCTTGTAATTACTATGAACAATACATTCCAATTTAAGAATTATTCCTTTTCTATTTATATTGTATGGCTGAAAATATTTTCTTAATTTATAAATATTGCTATGAAATTATTATTTTTTTGTAATAAAAATATAATTAAACATAGTCATTATTTTTTAAATTTATTTTGCTAATCGACTATATAATAATTACTATTGTTTGAAAACGAAAATTCGGCAATGTAGTTAACATTTCTACTGAGAGTTTTTTTATAATTTAGTTTCAAAAGGTAGAATGTGATTTATTTCTCATTAATTATTCTTTGATAATGTTTCATTGCGTAAATCTCAAAGATTGCCAAATGTCTTGACGTCATAAAACGCACACGCAAAAGAATCGTAAACCTTCGGGCAATCAACGATCAAAATTACCTTCGAGTCACTGGGTCAACGATTATAGTCTGTATTTACAAAGCTTAAAAGGTCAACTACTTTTTTTTATATGAAAAAGAGGGGATGTGATCATTAACTTTATTGAATAGCTGAAATCGTAGAAAAAAGTCTATTGTTAATGTATTTCATAAAGATAGAAGCGTTTGATTCTTTGAATTTTATTCCGATCAAAGCTTAATGCCAACTTGTTTCATGATTTGAGAAGGGTGTCAAGAAATTTTAAGATCATAACAAATTGCTGCATTTCTGAATAAGATAGATAGTTGAAAACTGTGTATTTGAAATTAATCCTGAAATACCTATAGTGCTTTTTCTTCAGAAAAATTACTAAAGATATTTTTTAGGCAAAAATCATTTTTATGCTTATTATAAATGATACCTTAATCTATTTTTATCTTATTAAATCCGATTTTAATCTATCTAATCTTACCCTATTTTAATCTGTACGCTTCTCGCTTATTTGAGGAAAATGCGGGTGCCTTGAGGAGAGAAATGCAGTTTTTTCAAGAAATATTGAAAAAAATAGAACTCAAACATTTCGTATCTTACTTTAGTTATCATAATCCCATTGTAAATGTTATAGATTTGGATATTTCTCCACTCGAAAATATAATTAAAAGATGCGATCAATTGTGAATTGTAAGCATTGTTAATAAAGTTTGTCTTAAAGAAAAAATATGATTTCACTAAAAATCAATTCTACCCCTTCCTATTTTCATTTCCACTTGACGAAGTTTCACTTCTTCCGGGCGGAGGAACTACACGCACTATTTTTTTATTTTTTTTNTTTTTTTTTAGTATATTAAAAATACTTTTGACACGTAACAAAGAAGCGGACCACAACGAATAATTAGAGTGAAATTGGTCGTAGTTCCTGCGAAATCATCTAGAAATTTTAAAAATACAACTTTTTTAAAAATCGATTTCTCATAAATTATTCGAGCGATTTCACCTATTCGCCATGTAAAATTACATTCTTTAAAATGATGTAAAATTTTTTAAACCTTTTTTCGACAATTATTAAATAAAATAATAAAAACATATAAATATTTACTTTAAGTTACTATTCGTTTATCCAACATAAAATTATTGTTGGATAAACGAATTTAATAATTGTGTTCAAAAATTTTTCAATTCGCTTAAAAAGTTCTCGAAACATGGCGGAATACGCAAACAGTAAAATTAACATTAAGGGGTCAAAACTTAAGGACCGTTTTTCAGACTAAACATTACGATCACACTTCCTAGATGGCGGCTACCCCTTCTATTTTGGGAGTCAGAAATTCAAACCCGTCGAGAAAAAGGCATGTTTATTCAGCCAAAGTGCATTTTTGTGTCTTTCGTAACTTAAAATATCGTCTGCGCTAGTTAATGAAACATTAAGATTGACCCCTAGAACGTAAAGATCCGATGATTAGACCAAAAGGTATTCAGGATGGTTCTTTTTTTTGCACCCAGATTATTTTACCCTGCTGCCCAGGAGCTTTCTGAGCTTGTAAGATTTATTTTCCCTCCTAAAGTAAATTCTATTTTCCCACTCAAAAAACTTCAATTTTCTTCAAAAGCAGGGAGAAGCTTATAATGAAGAGTGGGAGTTTTTAAGTATCATTTATAATAACAAAGCTTTTTGTCAAAAAATATCTTAAACGTTAATTTCTTGAGGGAAACACCTTTTCTGCTATAATTTCAGGAGTATTCATTTCGTAAACAAATATAAGTTTTTTTTTAAATCTATTAATTTTTCCAAAGGTAATTGCATTTATGAATAAGGTATTAAAAAAGTAGAATTTTTCTACATGGAAAGCTTTGCAGAAGAATCTAAGAGAACTTTTTGGGAAAAAAATTAAGATTCCTCATCGATAAAGGATACATTAGTTTTATTTAATTAAAAAAAAATAACAATGTTTTTAAAATTCGCAGATTTCAGTGGAAGAAGGTACTAAGTAACAATTTTTGAATGATTTCGGAGTCGAAAATAGTTCTAAGCACGTTTAGTAACAGTCAACAAGCGATTGTGAAAAGCCTTTGTGTCGGTAGCAAATTAAAATGTCAAAAATACAGACGCTTAGAGGCAAATAGTTTACGGGAGAATTAGTTATTAAAAACATCACCTACTGGAAATTTGGATCAGAGAATAAAATATTGAACAACAAAAATAAGAATACGCACGCTAACAAATTCCCAGTACGCCTTGTATTAAACCGCCAAATTTTAACTAAATCTCGCCGAGTGTTCATAAATGATCAATATTTCTTCTCAAAAAATTCCGTAATCGTCACTTTGTAACTTGTTTACCAAAGAGTTCTTAAATTTTAATTCACAATACCATATATTAAAAGGGATGACTCAAACAAAAAAATAACGATTTGGAAGAAAAATAGTTATGAAACCGCATAATGATCGACAGAATTCTTTACAGTTAACTAACAACGGTTTTTCGAATCTAGAAATTTTTTCACGTCTCTGTAAGAAAACAACGAGTGGGAAAATTTTTGATCAGTCTCAAATCAAACATGTAAAAGCTGTTACTCCAGTGACAGACTCAACAGCACACAGTTTCTGTTCAGACTATGTTCTTTTCTTTGCTTTTTCCGGTAAAAAAATATTTTCTGTTACAAAAATTATTTTCACTAAAAGTTAAAAAAAAAACTCTGAATAGTATTTACTTTTTTCTCATCTACGATACTTTTACCAAGCCAATTAAATACTCAATTAAATCTCAATTTCCGTGTCGAAATATTAAGAAAAGAGAATTTTTTAAAAGCAACAAATCTTTTGTCTAGGCATAAAATTCTTTTAAACAAGGCTGTTTGGTAATCATAAGTCCATTTTAATTACCAATTAAACATGTGCCAGTTAAAATTATTTTTACTTCTTAATGTAAATACTCATTTTACTTGGTTATGCTGTTTTTCAATAATACCATTAAAAGTAATTGTAGTTATTATTATTATTTTTTCCTTAAAATCTGCGTATTCTTTTAAGTAAGTTAAAAAAGCAATTTGTAACAGTAAGAGTTCGTTTCGTTGTGGTCAAAACTCCTTACTCCTCTTAACTTCATTTTTATATATAAATTTGATTTTCGATTGCACGATTTTAAATTTTGAGATACTTTAAATTCTACTTATTAAAAAAGTCTGATCAGCTTGTAACAAGAGACATCTATTAAATAATAAAAATCGTACGATTTTGCATTATTATTTTCTTTTATTTTTACAGATTAGTATACAAAAGTTCTTTTATCAATGTCAAACAAACTTGATATTTCAATTGACACAAATGATGAATACACGAAGCTCATTCATATAACAAAGACGTTCACAATTTCAACGTAACAAAATAGTTTAAAAACAGTGACATGAAAAAAATATAAATTCAGTTAAATGATCCGACTAACTTTTGTACGTCATATTTGTTTGCTTAACTCAACTTCATTTTAATAAAGATTGCAGGACTAAAATTTTTTAAAATCAAACTAAAGCTGCCTCTAATCATTATTTGCAGCCCTACATTTGGTCCTTTGAAAACACCAAGTATAAATCATGTATTTTAGCAGGCATAGAAGCTATAATACGAGGAAATAATCACTTCAGTTCACATGTTTTGCCAAAAGGCTCAATTTTTTACATTTTGGAATGTGTAAAACCTTAAGAACTGGTTTTTAATTTTGATAAAAATTAATCTAATTTGAAATTGCAAAATGAGTAGTTTTTTAAAGCATTACTTTTTTCTTACACAAAATCAGAAATTTTGAAGAGTATTGAATCATAAAGAGTATTGAACCATGGTTAAAATTTGATACAACTTTATCATACTTTTAAGTTGGATTTTACTATCGAACTTCTTTAACTTGATTTTTTAACTAACTTCAAACGGCGATATTGTCAACTTCAAATGGTAATATGGTTAACTTCAAACGATGTTATGCTTCAATTTAATACCTTATCAAGGATGCAGTAAATTCTAACCACCTTATGAACTACCGACATAAAGTGCATTTTAGGCTTAACTGATTTATTTTGTAATTGAAATTTGCAGGCATAAGAAAAAGACAATCAGACAGGCGATATCAGAGTGACGTCAACACCTCTTTGTAGCCTCACCTAATACTTCTGCACACAATTTTCAGTCTGTAATAGGACAAGGACTTCTCCAACCACCGAAAACCTTGTCCAGTTCCATTGCAGCTGCTAATGTCAAATGATCTCGCATCCGTCCACTTATTGCCTGTATTCCTATAGGCAGCCCATTGACTAGACCAGTAGGTATTTGTGAGGATGGAAAACCGAGGATGCTGAAGATACACGTGTATCCAATGTTGGGGTACTTAGGAACAGTCATGAGGTAATGAGGAGGGGGTTCAGGATGAGTAGGTAGCAACAAGATAGCGTCGTCCACGAAGATCTCTTGAAATTTTCTTTCTATGGCTTCATAGATTCTTAGACATTCGTAATAATACTCGTCCTTTTCTCTTCTGTCTACCATTGCAAAATAGATGGCTGGGAGTGTGTGATTTGAACGTCCTAAGAAAACCTTGAAGAGTTCCCGCCATAGATCAACTTTGCCAGTTTTGTATTCAAGTAAGCATTTGAAGGGAGGGACTCCAGTTTCTAATAGTTTGCATTCCCATACGTCAAAGGCGTATCTCAATTCGTCCATTTTAAAAGGGATTGCTTTTATACCATATTCCTTTTCGAAATGGTGTGCAGCCTGTAACAAACAATAACTATTTATTTAAGGCAATACATTTTCATTCAGTTATATATATTTGTTAAATTAGTTGGGAAAGCAAGCATGAGTCTTTAAGATATATAGATATATTTCTATTTGCTTTAAAAATATAAGCTTATTGCACTGGAGCAGTGGTTCCCAAATGCTGTTTTGCTTAAGACTCAAAACAGTTCCGACAGTTTAAACTCGTTAAATCAGTAATGATTTTTGAAAACTGTAATTATATTTAAATTCAAACAACAAACCATCATTTGTTTGATTTCGATATTTTAGTTAGTTACATGAAATTATTTTAGTAAAATAACGATAAAAAAGAACTAACAATTGTTTTTGAAAAAAATATTTCTTCCAATAACAATATATTGAATAAATTATGAAAATGATATGCATTTATAAAAGATTGAATCAATATTTCTGATGAACATTCTCAATGTTTATAACAGTTCTTTTTCGAAAATTATAATTCAGCGTACTTAATTCATTTTCAGTTTATGCTTACACCAAGAACAAACTCAGAACTAGACTAAATGCCACTCCAGGCCTGCAAATTTAACCGTTTGACATAAAACTTATAAGTTTAAGTCTGTTATGGGTTTTGTTTGGTTAGTGAATTTATGGTACTTGAGGTTCGGACAAAAAATGCTCGATCGTTCAGCGTTCCGTACTCGAAAAGAAGTGGGAAAAGAGTATAGGAACACTTTTATTAATGGAAAATGATTTTAATATTTTTTTGAAATTTAAACTATCCAATATAAGAATTAACGTGTTTTACTATTCATGTTTCGTAAACTAATACACAAGATTCTAACGAGCAAAATTATTTAACAGTCGCTAGTTGTGTAGTATATTATTATACATTTCCTTTTGAATGTCTCTAGAGTGCTTCGAAAAGACGACAGTAGGGTATACTTTGTGGTTTGTAAATAAAGCAAAACGTGAATAAAGACAAAACAGGAATATATTTTTTATATTAGTGCGTTTCGACACAGTGAGATTCTTGTTGATAAGATTCTGTGCCATTATTTGTGACTTATTCACATTTTTTAGTTTTGTCTGCAGTGTTTATTTAAATACTGAAGAAAATTTGTACTTTATTCAATGTTCAAAAATTAAAAAAGAAGTCAAAATAAAAATAATATTTTTAAAAACCACGTTTTTGTAGTGGAGAATAATAATTAAAAAACAAAAATTTGAAAATTGAAAAACGTGGGGCGCATGAAATACATAACAGTAACAGTGCTCATGAGAATATGTGTATGTATATCTGTTATTGTATCTGAATGTGGATGTGTATGAGGTTGTGAATGTGTATGAGTAAGAAAATGTGTATATGTATAGGTATATGTACTGTTATGTATTTCATGCACCCCACGTTTTTCATTTTTCAGATTTTTGTTTTTTAATTATAATTCTCATGCAAATTAAAAATTTATTTTTATTTTGATCTTTTTTTGTATTCACTTTCAAAATCTCAATTTTTTCACTCACTGTACCTGTCAGCCTTTCAACTGACACGTGACACTAATTTGAAATAATCAAATCGACAACAAAAAACAATCGCGAAAATATTAATTTTTCTTTAATTTTATTTCACTTTTTATGTCTTTTTTCTCTTCATTTTCATGCATTGTCATCCAATTCTGAACTATGTGCCAAATTTGAAGTCTGCAGCTAGTCGAGAAGTTAGTTTAAAATCGATTGCAAAATTCCCCCGGGACAGACATACACAAAGACAAGTTGATATAAACGTGGTAAAAATAGGACAAAAGCCTACAACGTTAAACAGGGTTTCTTTAACAAATTTTAGATGACACACCAAGGGATAATAGTTTATTGATCTTAGAGTGATAGAAAAGGTTTAAAAAACCTAAATAAAACAAAAAAATCAATAATTTTTCAATCTATCGTATTTGAGTTATTACATTTCGGATACCTGAAAATTTTGCATGATGAAAATTATCAATGTAAAATCATTTAGGAATCTACAATATTACTTACTTTTCTGACTGCATTTTTTATGGGTGAAATAGATTTCAGTAAAATGCCAGGATATTCCTCCATGTAGTATATTTTAACTTTACTGAAATCAACCTGGAAAGAGATGTAAAAATTTAGTTTATTAATTTCTATTCTGTTGAATAAGATGGAGTCATTATAATACAAGCATTGTCATTTTAACAATCTAAGAACAAAACGCTTAATGATTTTTATGGTTAATTTTCATGGTTGGATTTCTGACTTCCAAAATATAGAAGATAACCGCAATCTGGAAAATGTGGTTCCCACAGTTTAGTCAGGAATGTGATCCAAAGTTTGGACACCTTAATATTATTTCTACTTCTTGAGTATTTCTCCATATCTCTTAAATTTTTTAAGAGAATTGAGAATTTTTTGCTCACAATAATAAAATTTGCTTATCCAAAGATAGTTCCATGTAAAAAATAACTTTTAGTACATATTTATTATTTTTTACTATTTATTTATAAATAATTGAAAAAATTTCAAACTGAAAGTATGCAATTTTTTGCATAATTTTTAAGTATGTAATTTTATACAAGAATTATAGAATAATTTTGATACAAGAGAGCGAAATTGGTCGAACAGTTACCGAGAAATCGAAAATTCAAAATACGACTTTCTTAAAATTTGATTTCTCAGGAACTATTCAATCATTTTTGCTTAAATTTTGCATTTTGCCATGTAAAATTACGTTTTAAAAATGATGTAAAAATTGTATAATTTACAATTTGAATTCTTTCAATTATTTATAAATAAAATAGTAAAAAGTAATAAATATTTACTTAAATTATTTTCTGCATAGGGAATGCATTATTTTCTGCATATATTTACTTAAATTATTTTCTGCATCTTGGGATAAACGAATTTTACAATTATATGTGCACAAAATTTTCAACTCTCTTAAAAAGTTCTCGAGATATGGCGAAATACACCACAAGTAGTATCAATACTAAGGGGTCCAATTCTGGACAGCTCTTCTGGCTAAATTAGCATCATATTTTCCAGATTGTGGCTATGTTCCATATTTTGGTGGTAAAAAATCTGAATCCGTCGATGAAAAGGTATAGTTGTTTAGAGAAAGAATGTTTTTGTGTCTGATTTAGTAACTTAAAATATCCTCTACACTAATTAGAATATTAAAGATTAGCCCCTCGAGCCATTGAGATTGAGTCCCAAAACATAAAGATCCGATCATTAGATCAAAAGTTAATTAGTGGGGTCCGCCCCGTGGCGACTTTCAATTTTTGTATGCAATTGTAAGTTAATGATCAGTACTCAATCTAAAGTTTTGTTTCTCAATGCCCACTTGGGGAATGACATTTCGTCAATACAGGTATCTGAAGGGCAGATTTGTTGCCCACTCTTTCAGTGGCACCATATTAGATGGACCAACGTTGCTTCCACAGTAAGGACATATCGTACCGAGAATGAACGAACATCAATGCCTTGTCCGGAATTCGAACCCAGACCCATTTAATGCAAGGCACTCCATCGAAAGTTGAATGGTGAAAAATATAATGATGCATAAAATAAAAAATACAGTCTCACCTTTTCATCGAATTTAATTCTTTGGTCGTTGCTGGTAAGTATCCTCATCAATAAGGGCAAGTCTTCTACGTACCGACACATTGGACCAGTACTGGTGAAAGAGTCTATATCCTCGTTCTTATCGAGTTCTCCAAATGGAAATGCTCCAGCATTCGATACTGTTCCTGTTAAAATACATTATAAGTTTCAAAACAGTGAAAAAAATATTCAACATTCATGACAAACATTAAAATTAATTTTAAAAACGCATTTTTTCATTTTGCATTTTGTTGATCAAATCAACGTCTTAAAATTTAAAGTAAAATCACCAAAATTTAACAAAACTTAATTAGCGAAAATTGACGGTCTGGTGATTAAATCGACAAATCAAAGGTATTATGTTTTTTTATAGCAAAAAACAATAAACGCATTATTATATTCTATTTTCAAAAATACTAAAAGGATGAAAAAAGCTTTTGCCATATCAAAAAATAGATATTAGTTGAATATAGGACAGGTATTATTGACAGGTTAAAAATTAGTGACTCGATTGTTATAAATATTGTCATAAAATAACTGAAGTATTATTACCATTGTCTTTTAGTATTATGAACTTACAAAAGCTAATACTATATGTACGTGAAGAAAACAAATAAGCTATATTTGTTCCAATACCAGTACTTAATATCGTATAAGATCAAGTATTGGAGATTTTAAATTTTAAATTAATTTTGGTCATAAAGCAACAGACTTTCTTAAAGGACATTTTTAGTATATTTTTTATCCAAATGTACAATGCTAAAAAAAAAAAGAAAAAACGGACCACCTGGAATAATTTTTGATCTATTGATTGGATCTTCACGTTCTAGGACTCTTAATGGTTCGAATCTTAATGGTTCGAGAGGATGACCTAAAAATATTCTAATTAATTAGTATAGACGATATTTTAAGTTACGAAATCAGACACAGAAACGTACTTTCTCTGAATAAAAATACCTTTTTTTCGTAGGATTCAGGTTTTTGACCCCCAAAATATAGGACCTGGAAAATATGGTTCCAATTGTTTGGTCAAGAGAGAGCTCCAAAGTTTGAACCCCATGATGTTAATTTTGATTTTTGCGTATTTCGTTATATCTCAAGAATTTTTTAAGCGAATTAAAAAATTTTTGAACACAATTATAAAATTCGTTTAGCCAAAGATAATTCTACACAAGAAGTAAATTATAGTAAATCTTTATTATTTAATTTAATGATAAAAAAGAAAAAATTGAATTGAAAGGTATACAGTTTTTTTATATAATTTAAAAGTGCGTAAATTTGCTTGGCAAAATACAAAATTTGAGTGAAATCGGTTCTATAGTTCTTGAGAAATCAAATTTTAAATATACGTCTTTCATAACATCTAATTTCTCAGGAACTATCAAACCTATTTTGCTATGTAAAATTACGCACTTTAAATCGATGTAAAAAATTGTATTCCTAACAATTCAAAATCTTGTCGACTATTATTAAATAAAATAAAAAATATTTACTAAAATTCATTTCTTGTATGGAATTATGTTTGGCTAGGTGAATTTTATGCAATTATGTGTGCAATTTTTTTTAATTGGCTTAAAAAGTTCTTAAGATATAAAAAAATACACAAAAAGTAATATTAACATTAAGAGGTCCAATTTCTGGAACACTCTCCTGTTCAAACTATTGAGACCATATTTAACAGATTGCGGCTATTCCCTAAATTTTAGGGGGTCAGTAATCTGCATCCGTCGAAAAAAGGCATGTTTATTCAGTGAAAGTACGTTTTTGTCTCTGATTTCATAACTTAAAATATCGTCTGCCCATATTTTAGCATATTCAAGGTCACCCCTTTAGGCCATTTAGATTGAGTCCTAGAACGTGAAGATCCGATCATTAGATCAAAAGTCATTCAGAGTGGTCCGGTTTCCTTTTGCGCCTTTGCACATGTTTGAAAACGTTATAGATAATAGATGGCACATTATGAGTATTAAAATTGCATATGAAACCATACCAGAAAATGTGGTCATACATGGCTAGGGGAGCTACCCTACTATGACCTAATCAATTAGATTAGAAGCACATGAAGAAACAGTTCATAATATTGAAGTGCCCTTAGCGGCGTCTGATGATATTTTCGGGCGTGGATTCCTATGAAATTTTGATGCTGATGATGCACCCTAACTCCCCTAGAAGTTTGTCACCACAGTTACGTAACCCCCTGTTATGTATAACGTTTTTATACTTGTACATTTTAACAAAAATTAGACAAAAAATGTCATTAAAAAGTATAGTTTAGAGAGAGAAACTGAATGCAGATATGAAATCAGAGATACGAAAGTATCTAGGATCTGTTAAAAAATCTCATGCAACAATCATGCATCAATCTTGTTTTATAGTGTAATTGATAAATAGGTTTACGTATTTTTCAGCGCATAAAGCTGACAGGTACTTCGAATTAAAATCAAAGCAAGCCAGCAAAGCGCGTTAAAGCTGAAATTAAAATTGTTAGGTGTAATAAAATTTCTTTAAAAACTGTCGTGATGAAATTTGAGTTATGAGGTTCCTTTAAACGGTTTATTAATGCTTCATAAGAAATAACTTGATATTACCTAAATGAATAAAAAAGAAATAGCTAAAAAATCATGATAAAATTACCAGTTGAAGGTTTATGACCATAGATTCCACAAAAAGATGCCGGGATACGTATACTTCCGGCGATATCATTTCCTATTCCAATCAATGCAGCTCCCGCGGTGATTATTGCTCCTTCACCTCCTGAAATGATAAATTATAATGAGTGATTTATTTCCAACCAGGAATCATGGCCGGAAATCAGCATGATCAAACGACCTGGATCATTACTTTATGTGGTTATAAGGTAAACATTGCTATTGCTTTTTCTCTTTTTGCTGCTCTCCCTATAGCAGTGTTTCCCAAACTCATGACTTTTGTGTACCTTTTCATAACGATGCGTACCACTAACAAAAAAAATGAATGTATTTTCTTAAAAATATGTTTTTTTTTCTTTTTTGGTACAAAGTTTTGTAGATACCAACATGCGATCCATATTCTATGTTAGGAATAAAAATTATATTTTGTAAAAATAATCAAAATAAGTAGAATTTATTACAAACCTTTACTATAAAAAAATTGCACAAAAGTTAAAAATCACAACTGGCTGTTGACACCACTATTTATTAACTGTCAACTCAGCAAAAAATAGCCTATAGAAAAATACATAATCGTAAATTTTCATAGCTAGTTTTGTTTTTAAATAAAAGTGTTTGAAATTTTCATTTGTTGCAAGATATTTCGCATAAGAACGAGTACACCCGCTAAACTGTTCCCGTACCCCTGGAGGTACGCGTACCACACTTTGGGAAACACTGCCCTATAGGAATATGCAATTACAGCAGTAACAGATAGATTTAACTAATATTTGGTAATAAGCGTTTTAAAAATCAAGATTTCAATGATACTTGAGCCTAAAAAATTGAAAAAAAATAAGAGCGAAAACCTATTGAAAGACATAAAAATTAGCAATATTGGTTTGCCTGGAATGCTCGCAGTCCCACCCGTTTCGCAAAAAATCATATCATGAAAAGAGTGACTCAGATGCAAGTTTGCAATAAAACTTGCAGTACAATGTAAAGGACTTATCACGGAATTACGAAATTTGCTTCTATTTGCATATCTATGAAGTAAAAGTAACGAAAATATAGATGGTTTAACACGTTGTCTGCTGCGTCACCTATATTCGGGTGACAGCAAAGTTTCTGATCAGGATGCGTCACCAGTATTGGGGTAACGCTTAATTGACTACTTGCGAAGGATATTCGCATGTATTTGAAAATATATTTCACAAGAAGTAACAAAAGTATTGAATTGTTGTAAAAGTAATACAAAAATGATTTATTATTGTGAACCTTGTAAAAGCTTTCTTGTTCACTGCTATTTGACTCAATAAGAAATGAGTTTTCCATTTTTCTTTTTGAAATTTCAACTAATTCGGGTAAAGATTTTAAGTTATACTCCTCTTTACTCGGCAAAGATTCAAACGAATTGTGTAAAGGGGCGAGATAAGAAACAGACGCGTACACAAATAAACAGACATGATACCGTGGAAACAAACGGAGCAAGATATTATCCTTGTGGCCACCAGAGACTTGCATTATTAAAATATCGATTTGAGTACTTAGCAGAATACGCTTCGTACGGCGGTACTCGTAGTCTGAAGGAAATTTCACTGTGAACTCGGACGACAGTCAACGTGTTAAGAAGTTAAATGCTTTATGCATACCTGCCAACTTTTATGCATTTGGCGTAAAATTTTATTTCTATATTTAAAGTGGTAGTAAAATGAATACTTTTTATATATTCCTTGCATTTATAAACTTAATGCATTATCTTTTTGACCACCACTATTTTTTAAAAAATTAAACATGTATATATTAATAAGTAATATTGTTACGACATTGCAATGCGTCTCGCTTATGTTAACCAAAGATGCTTGTGTGTTTACAATTTAAATTTAGGCTAATCCAAAATTTTGGTTACCCGAACAAGGAACAGTCCCAATTACTTTCATTATGCATCATTAGTATGACAGCCCACAGTGGGCCAAGGCTTTTCTTGGATGAGATTTCCAATTCGCTCTAGGTGATTAAGGCTTTCCAGTTCTTAACCATTAGGATTAAAAAAAATTATCCACTGCAGTTTGGATCGTCCTCTTCTTATTTTTCCCAGCAATTTTGTCACAATGAATCCTTTTAAAGAGTTTAAATCATTCATTCTGAATACACGTGCAGCTCAGCTTACCCCAATTATTTTACTTTTAGTTATTGGCAATACTCTTGACGCTGCTGCATAAACTTATATAACATAGCATATATAAGGCTTATTGTTTAGTTTCAATGTATGAAATTTCTTACCGGAGCTGCCGCCAACTGTCCGACGGTTATCGTAAGGATTTTTTGTCATTCCAGCTACTGCGTTAGCGGCCTCCCACCAGAAACATGTCTCTGGAACATTCGTGACAGTTACTGGGATGGCACCGGCATTTCGATATTTGGAAGCTGCCACTGAATCTTCTGGAGCTTTTCGACCTTTGGCCCAGACCAACCCGTTCACCTGAAGAAGATCTGTAATAAAGATTTCACTTTTTTGTAAAAATTTTAATTGGAACAATTCTCTTTCTAGTTGTATTTCATAGAGACAACAGGTTAGAGTAAGTAAATAAGTTTTATTTTTATACACTGATGGAAAAAAAATCCCCCAAAATTATTGTAGAGCAATGAAATTTCAGCAATGTGTTTGTCTGGGTAACATATTTAAGCGATAAAATTTTCAAGATCACAGGTTAATGCAATTAAGAGAAACATTTCAAATGCGAAAAACTGGAGCATTAATAACCGATGTAACCACCAGAATTTTGAATGCAAGCATGCAAACGGGTATGTTTTGTGTTATACAAATGCCGTAAGTCATTTTGTGGAATGTAGTTAAATGCCTGTTGCACTTGGTCAGTTAATACGGGGATAGTTAATGCTGGTTATGGATGACGCTGAAGTTGTCCAGTGATGTTTCATACGTGCTTGATTGGAGGAAGATCTGGTGATCCAGCAGGCCTAAGCAACATGACGACATGCTGTAGAACATGTTGGGTTAAAACAACAGTTTGAGGGCCAGGGTAATCCTGTTGGAAAATACCCGCCTTCAATCAACACCTCCTAGAAAGAACAGGCCTCAGCACGGGTTACCATAAATATCCCCATATTTTGTATTTTCACAGCCATACACAGTATACGGCAGTCTCCGTTCTGAGTAGTGCCGAGTGTAGTTCAGTTACGACTTAAAAATCATTTAATGAACGAATTAACTCTAAAGTGACAATGTTTCGTTAGTGCTAGATACTCTTGCTATAGCAATCACATGACTGAGTTAGTCGAAATTTATACCGTTAATCAATCACTGCATAGGTATGTTTAATAAATTATTTCCTGACTGAAAAATCACTTTTATTTATCAGATAATATTTATTATTGCAACGTAATGAATTGTGAGATGAAGTAGCTTAATATTAAATTTAAAAACTAAACTGGAAAAAAAAAACTAAATTTTATTTTAGTGCAATCGTGGCGAATTGAGATTTTGAAGAAGTGGCTGCAAATATTTAAAATTTACATGACGATGGCAAGAGCTAAAATGTTTTTGTACCCTTGATCTACACTACAAAAAATTCCGGATCAAATTTCGGTATCAAGTACCGGCACACTGCCACATCATCCGTAAAATCCTTTTCTACCGTAAAATATCATACTGCAATTTTTACAATATTTATTTCATTCGGTGATTTTTCGATAACTATTACTCTAAAAATAACGGCATATCATTTCCTTTGTTCCGTAACATGTTCCGGTAAAGATGAAATTTTACGGTACCGGCTGCTGATTTGACAATTCAGTGGTCTTTAACGACTAGCTGGCTTTATTGTAGACTTTTTGCTTGACTGTAATTGGTCGCTGTGATGCCACAATTGGCATTATATATTTATTTTCTATCATTTTAAAATATCTTTCATTACTTAAGCTTTTTTTTAATTAATAGAATTACATTTAAAAATAAATCAAGGGCTTAATCTTTTAAAACGAACACGAACATAAAATATTTATTTCCTCTCTTCTAGATCAATGTAACGGATACTTTTTTTTTATTTTATTGCTAGGCAGACTTATTAATTCACTGTCGCCTCTAATCGAAAAAAAAAAATCTATTTATAACTTTTTACTCTAAATTTCCAACGGCTAAATGTTTCGGTTGCATGGTTGTAATAATTCTCATAAATTTGTTGGCGACTCGTGATCGCCAAAATGTTCTTTTAAACCCATATTGATATGCTAGTTGGCTTTCTTTTGGCTATGATATATTATGACAAATCGCCAAATTATGGATCTCCTACCCATACTTTCTACGTCCGTTGGGAATAATTATATTTACTTGGAATTCAAAATTTGTGGTGACAAGGAGTCCCCTTTGGGGCGCTCCTGTCTCAGTCATCCTAACGGTTTAAAAAGATATAAAATCGTAACAAAAACTTCTTGATGTGGAAGTTATATTTCCTTGATCCCTTCAAGGGATTTATTTTTTATAATTGGTAATTATTATGATGATTTGTATTGATGGCCATTCTCTATAATCTTCAAGAAATATTGCTTAATAAATTGGATTTTCATATTCACGATTCATATTAATTTCCTGGAAACTTTAATTTTTGTTTCATCCATTTACTTTTATAATGGCCTAACAATCATGAATTCCATTATACGAATATTGGCGGCTAAGGACGGAGGACCAAACCTCCCCCACAGTCGCAATTATATTGCAAGCTTTTATATCTTTTAAAATTTACTACCTGAACTAAAAAAATATAGTCGAGAATCAATTTTTTTCTCATTTAAGGGAATGCCTAACAGGAGAACTGGTTGATAAAATCCACAGGATTGAAAATTTTTTAACAGTGTTGAGGACTTTTATGTTTTGCATAATTTGACTAAAAGTCAAAAAGAGTTGAGTGTCGTTATATTTTACTACTTGCATCAAAAAATATCTCATGTTTTCCTGAAGATACGGTACCTTTAACTCCTATGGCTTCTTTGCAAGTGAAAGGAACACCCAAAAGCGGCGTATCTTTTTCTATTTGTTGTGGGGATTTCCTTCCACTCTCCAGAAACGTATCTATATCTCTGGCATCTTGCAGAGCATCATCGTACCTTTCATCTAATGCAGCATTTATGAGTGGGTGGACGGAACGTGATCGTTGAATGTATGCTAACATCACATCTTCACACTTCACCTACGAACAATTTTAGAAGATGAGCAGATATGATTGACAATAGGTAATACATAGATACAAACTGAAGAATTTTTCTAGTGATTATGAAGTAAAAAATTAAAATTTTTTGAACTAGTAACTCCCGTCACCACTGATGTTTAAACCATTTGCTAACCCCTTAACTTGTGAGCTCGAGTTAATTCGAGCGCGCTAAACAGGACTGTGCACACTCGAGATAATTCGAGCGGCGTTGTATTTTATGCTGCGATAATTTTTCACACTGGAATATAATCGAGAATTGAAAATAGCAATGTGAAAGCTAAGAAAAAAAAAATCGTTTTATTGATATTTATCATTTACATTGGATTGTAAGCTATAACACTTATTTATTCAAGAATAAAATATACAGAGATGCCAATTTGCTCCGGACAGCAAATATATATTTTAAAGTGGTAGTTCATCAATTGTGGTTCTTGGTTTAATAAATTCAATTTAGTAGATTTTTATCCACCATTATTTCTAAATAATTAGTAGGCTTATATAATTCATCACTTTATAGTACTTTTGTCGAGCTATACCTTTTAAAAAGCAAGCAAGAGTCAAATATTTGCAAAATTTACTTTTTAGTTGCTTACCAATTTTTTAATTATTTTTGCTTGTCCGGAGCAGTTGGCATCCCTGAATATAGCCTTTTTCCATGGAACAAACGCGCAGTATATCAAAATTGTCCACCAAAAGAAAAGACAATGTTCTAAAGCTGGTTTTTTACATAAAAATAATAATTTTTTTGTGTCCGGTTTTTTTCAAAAAATCTGTGCCATAACCCCTTGGGGACGGGTGATTCAGAAACGCATTCGTACAAAATCAGAATCAAGTTGTAATTAAATAAAAAATGGTAACTTAAATGTAGTCGTTGCTAATTTGACAGACTTACTTTGCTTTTACTTTAATTATTGTTAGTTTAATCATATATTTAATCAATGTTAGTTCAAAGTATAACTAAACAGTTTTATTTTGAACAAAGTATTGGTGAATTAAATAAATCAAACAATTATAACTCCTCTCAGAAATAAACTGCTAAAGAAATACTTTGATTACCAGTTTTATATTTTTACCCTGATTGATACGGTTTTATGCTGTCACATATTTGTATCAGTCGGCGCGAAAGGGTTAATTGCTGCGAATCGTAAAATAAGTAAAAGCAAAATTAAATGTTAATGTTTTCCAACCACTAGAAAATATCTAAAAAATCATATAAGGTATCTGCTATAGATTCAACCACACTTAAACATTTCAGCACCCACTTTGAAAAATAGCAAAGAGCTTTATTATAAATATAACTTCTCAGGAATACAATTATGGTTAAATTTATAATTTTAAAAAGTAAAGTGGTATATCTTTAACCTACAAATAAAATTTTTATAGGTAATTTGTTTGCTCTTTTTTTTTCTAATAACATTTTATGCCACATGCGATTAAAAATGTGAAATGTGGTAGAAACTAATTCATTTTTATTTATTTATTACCTCTTTAACTATTCAGTCGTAACTATCACTAAGACTTACATTTCAAATTATTCATATTTAAAGCAAAAACATTCTTCGTACTTACTTTCAATAGTAGACTGAAAAAAATATGCTAGAAAAAATTAAATGTTATTAATCACCACTTTTTGCATTTTTAGTCACTCGGGGAAACTCTCGACTATGAAAATAGCTAATAGAATTTTTATCTTCTGACCCACAAATTTCTATAAAATAACTAAAGTGCTCCCAGAATTAGGTACTAAAAAGTATGCCTAGGCTTCCCTTTAATTATTGTTCTATCTGAGGCTCATGTAAACACAACAAATATTATTTTTTAGTTAAGCTATTCAAAGAACTTGACCTCTCTCAAATCTCATCTCCGTTTTAAGATCTCTTTATTATTTTCATTTTAGCTTTTTTTTTTTTTCAAATGATTTTTATTTGATATCTTCAAACTCTAGAAAACTATAAAAAATTTCTTCAGTATTAGTTTTGAAAGGCTTGTCTCGCTTTGCCTACACTGATTATATTTTTAGTAACTATGTAAGCTTTAAAGTTATTAGGTGTCTCAAATTTATAATAAGTGAAAAAAGAGAAATCGCTTATAACCCACAACACTATACCATATTAATCACAAAAAAACTTCATGCGACAACATATTTTTTTGATTATCTATTTTAATAATTATTTTTATTATTAATTATTAATTTTATTATTATTTATTAATTATTTTTTTGATTATCTATTTTAATTCTATAAATTAGGTGTATAGTTCTGAATAGTAAACTTTTTTGAAATTCGTTTTCTCAGAAATTATTTAACCTATTCTGTTCAAACTTCGCATTTTACCCCGGAAAATTATATTCTTTTAAATGATGCCAAAAAAATTGGATGCCTTGCATATCAAAATTTTTTAGACCATTATTAAATAAAGTAATAAATATTTTAATAAAGGTTATTTTTTCATGCAATTATCTTCGGATAAAGGAATTTTTTTGTTTGGATTTGTGTGTAAAAATGTTTCAATTTTATTAAAAAGTTCTTGAGTTTTGTTAAAAATACGCAAAATTAAGATTATGGGGGTCCAAACTTTGGAGCACTCTCCTGACCAAACATATTTTCCAGATTGCGAAATGAATCTTACAATTGTCTCCAAAAATCTTTCTATTTGATAAAAAAAATTCTCGAGATATGGCGAAATACGCAAAAAGTTAAATTAGCATCCGGGGGCTAAAACTTTGGACCACACTGCTGATCAAACTATGGAGACAATATTTTCCAGACGTCCTATATTTTGGGGTTAAAAAATCCGAATTAGTCGAGTAAAAGGTATGTTTATTCTAATACACGTTTTGTGCTTGATTTCGTAATTTAAAATATCGTTTGCACTAAATAATTAGCATATTTGAAGTTACCCCTCATTTATTAAGATTGAGTGCTAGAACGTGAAGATTTGATTATCAAATTAAAAGTTATTCAGGGTGGTTCGTTTTTTTGGCGCATTGTACAGTAATTGTTTGTTTAGAATCTTCTCAGGAAAAATACTAATCTTATCATTTATCGTTTTAATTTTTTTAAATTATTTTTTTCTCCATTTTCTGGAATGAAAATTAACAAAAGAGTAATAGTACCTGACGATTTCTTATTTTCTTTGCAAGGTCAACGGCTGACATCAGAAGCAACTCATTGTTAATTGGTGGTAATGGTTTTGTTTTACCCATAAACAAACCATAAAGGAAATCCAAGACATAATCTGATATAGGCCGTGTGAATGTCAAAATAATTCTCAAAAATTGCGCACATATACCAACCACCTAAAAGAAATATAAAACAAAACATCTTAGGCACCATTATAAGGGGTTATAAAACAATTAGACACAGTATACAGCAAAACATAAAAAGATAATGGTTTAAAATTGTTTCTCATAATTGTTTCATTTTTATTGGCCAAAAAATATCATATGGTGGGATTGTTAATGCACAAAGAATATATGGAAATCTCCTATATAGATATGGCTCTTATCAGCTTGAGGGCGATGCAATATAGGAATAATAATTGCATTTTTTTTAACCCCTTTTCCCAATTTTTGATTTGTTATTTTTGAAAACTAAAATTCTTAAGTTTTACTTTTTTAAGTGTTGAATAAATATAGTTTAAATGTGGCAAAAAATTTTTCAATACTGAAATATCATTTATTTGTTTGGAAATGTGTTTATCGTAGCGAGTTTTAATGTGTACGCTCTCTCCCAAAAGTTAAGCAAAGGAAAGAAAAATTTTGATTTCCGGAAGCCAAATTGAATTGGAGTAAACTTAACTTGTAACAGAGGTAGAAGAAAGTGTGCACAAATGTTAGGTAACAACCAATTACGGTTTTATGTCAAGAAATATGTAAATCAAGCAGCAGTATAAAAAGCTGGCTTTGTGTAGGCTTACTGTAGTTGCATTTGAGTGCGGATAAAAAGTGAGTAGAAAATCCTTTTATTTTTTTCGAACTAAACATTTATCTACGACTTCCAGAAGAAGAATGGAAGAGTCTGAGGGCTGATGTGCAGTCGGACTCATTAAAGCAGTACAGTCTATCACAGATGTTGCTCTGTTCTTCGGCATCAATCATTCCGTCATTTCAAGATTATGGCCAAACCAGTCGAACAGTTATCCAAAGACCTGCAGCTGATCATCAAAGGGCTACGACTCCCGCGGGAGATCGAAGTATTGTTGTTGTAGCTAAGAGGAATCGAAGAGCTACCTCCACACGTGAGACTTGTATGGTTATGGCAGTAATTGGCCAGCTGCAACTGTTCGCCGAATGCTACACATTAAAAGACTTTACGCCTGGGCACTATGAGTTTATATTAGTCTATCCCTTCAAGCAAGATTGGCACGGTAGAAATGGTGCTGAGGGCATGTGAATTGAACCCTGTTTGATGAAGCTAGATTTAGCATACAACCCGATGACAAGCGTGCGAAGTCCTGAAAAAAAACAAGACACACGCAACAGGTCACAGAACATCATGCGACATCGCGCAATCTGTTGTGGAAGCATAGTGACATACTCGGAATTGGATATCGCACTTGCCTGCACAGCTACTGATGTGGTTCTGTGACGACTGAACGGTATCAGAATGAAGCCACTTTATGTGAAACTGTATGCTGCAGAAGTTGATTTCTACTTTCGTTTCAATGGACGGCAAAGCACGTCCTCATGAAGCAACGGTTACTTGAAGTGCGAAGGGATTGCCGGTATAGAGTGGCCGGCTTTCTCATCGGATCTTAATCCAATTGAAACTTCTTGTGATGACCGAGCTGTGGGTACTCGTTTATCCACCGCCAGAAAATCTCATAGATTTGGAAACAGCTTTCAAAATAATGGCGATCGCTGGAATCTGAGGTGGTTGACCACCTCGTAACAAGCATATTAGCACTCTGAATAAAAATAAGGAGTGCTCAGTACTCACATGCCCTATTGATATCGAGTTTTGTAGTTTTTTTAAAAAAATTTAATCATAATTTTGAGAATGACGCTTGACTTCAGCATATAATTTATGAATGACATCAGCATATAATTTATGCAAATACAATATTGTTTTCATAATTATTAATAATATGAATCATGTTTTTCTTCGTTTTGCTTTACGAATAAACATATTAGCTACTTTTCTGCAGCAGTTCTGGTCTGTTCTTCATCAGTTCATTGCTCCATGCTAAAATTTTGGAAGCAAGTGTATTTTCCGCATTTTATTGCTCCATGCTAAAATTTTGGAAGTGAGTGTATTTATGCTGACTCATAAATTAATTTTTTTAGGGAATTAAAGATAGATGAAAGAAGAGTTTTTCAGCTCATGAATGTCAAACTTTTGAAAATATTTATTTTAAAAATTATTTAAAAATAGAGGCGTTCAATGTAAGTCCCAAAAGAATTAAGAGACGTCTAATTTCTCTTAAATTTGTTTTTAGAACGTTTTAACAATAAATTTTTATGAACAATATTTGTGTTTTTTTTAAAATCCATAATCATACAAGAAACTAAAACATGGGACGAAGTGTTTTTTATTTTTATTTTTAATTGAATTTATCGTATAAAAAGTGACAACGAACCTCATTTTTGTACTGCATTATTCAGTTTCAAAAGTCATTTAAATTTGGTTTTTTATGTACTTTTATAACGGCTTCAGCCGGTGACCAATTTATAACGAATGGAAATTAATACGACTGTCTTCTGATCGTATGCGACGCATGAAATAGATGGAGCAATTTTAACACACAATGTTTAACTTCGCTAAGAATTCACCAAACTGATAATGCATTTATTTTTTTTCTCATTTACATAATCATTTGATATAAAGTCATCCTGCGTTTTCATGGATTACAGGATTATTAGTCTTATCCTTGTTTCTGTGTACTTTGAAACCGAATTTTTTTTAATAAAGAATTATTTTGCTAGCTTATTAAAAGCACGGGCTCTCAAAAACTTAGACATAAAGCAGTATTTTAAAACTATTTCAAAACTAAAACTGTCTTAATTACATTTTAAAATATAATGATGGGCATTTTATTTAGAATTCATTTTTTTTATTCGTTCTGAAAAGATTCTTTTCCGTATTGAGAGTTGATTTCCGTAAAGGAAATAGTTGAACAACCTTTTATCGACGAACGGTGATGATTATCTAGGTATAATGTCCGTCCATTAGAAGTCAAAATAAATGCTGTGCCAAGTGACGATAGATTAGAGATAAACGTTATTTTCTCTCTTCATAAAGAAACTTCAGTCAAGAAAATGTTTTCTCGAATTTTTCGATTGTTATGTCTAAGATAATTTTAAATACATCATTTAAAAAATAACATTTTTAAAACTTTTTAAAATTTTTTGTTTGTTTTTTAACTTTTTTTTGTTGAAAACGTTTATAGATAAAATTTAGAATTTTATCAAATATTTATCTTATTTTCCTTTTCAGCGTGTCACTATATAAAGACGATCTTATTATAAAAAAAACTTTTTTAATATTTTTTAACTAATATTTTTTTCTTCAAAAATTTCTTTATTTTCATGTTGTTTTTAATATAATTATTTCTCTAAATATGTTTAAAATGAAGTAAATAACATTAACGTAGTACATAATTCTTATAACAAATATAATACATTAGTTTCAAATGGATGTTAATGAATTTTTTATTTATTATAACCTTTTCTTTTTAAATGTAATTAAATGAGGAATGAATTAAGAACACTAGTTCTTTATTTCATATCTTAATGAATATGCTATATTAAGACAGAATAGTGTTTTCGAAGCATACCATAAGAATAAAGAGAATAATATATAAGAATAACATATACACAGTCAAAAATTTAGATTTAAATTACTGTTCAAAGTACGGCAATTTCTACAGTAATTTTTATTTAATTAGAGTGATACAGTGATTTTGTGGTAATAATTACTGGAAAAATTACGATATATCAGATTTTTTGTTCCGTAACATGTTCTGGTAAAAATGGATTTCACTGTAAAAAATACCGACACCCTGAATGACGGTACTTTTTACCGTAATTTGATCAGATATTTTTTACATTGTATTAACCCAAAGGGCCAGGGCCCACAAGGGTGCTGCGACTATCATAGTACTAGGCCTAACTACACAAGTAAGAATATATTGAAAATCTATTAGTCATTATATTTGTCTTTAGATATGCTAATATAAGGGCAATAGATGTCTTTGTCATTGTATTTTTTGACTGTATATTTATATGGCCTGAAAGTTTTTTTGTTGTTGACATAGTTAGTGGTCGGCACGATTGAAGAGGTTTGAGAACCATATCGCAGTTTTCGCTGCAATTACTACAAATGCTTATTTTATTTTAAATATTTTATGTACTAATTAAATAAAAAAAGTGCTTGGTATTTCTTGATAGTTTTCTCCTCTTTTTGTATCATTAATTTTTTTTTGTCTTAAAATATTTATGCGGCTTAATGGAACGTAAAATCGACATCTAGCATGAAACAGTATGTGATTTATGATGTGCTAAAAAGATATAAATAGTGACGAGATTGCATGTAGTTTAATAGAATATATTAAAGACGATTGTTCTTATAAGAATTCTTAATGATAACTAAAGATTTTTAAACAATAAACAATTTATAATTGGATCAGGAAAAAAAAATCGTTGATATTTTTGGGCACAATGAATTTAAGCTATGATTAACGGAAAACTTTTGGCTCCATTAGTTTGACAGCTAATTATAAACACACAACAGCATAAACATATAATAAGTTTTATTAAATATGTATATTCTTGAATAACGCGAATAATCATGATGGTAATTCATAAAGCAGCGTCAAACGTGGAAAAAATGTAAGAGTTTATAGTTAATAGAATGAAATTAATAGAGTTTTAAGAAAATATATTGAAATTAAGTCTTCTTAACTATATTAAACTAAAATACCATTTTTAATTTTATTTTAAAAAATTCATATGTCTATAATCAACCGATTATTGCAAATAACTGCACTTATAGCATGATTCATATAAATTGTTTACCAGCAAAAATATAAAAATAATAATTACTTGTATTTAAATTAGCCGTATTCATATACAAAATTTAAGCATAATTAATTCTATCAAAATTAACATCGTTTTATCAAATGTGAGGTCGTTTCTTTTAAGGAATAAATTATATCCCAAATTATTCGTTCTTACTTAACACTACACTCATCTTGCAATGAGTTAAGATATTATTATCTTATTTAGGCGATCAATTACTTATTAATTAATTGTAATTATTAACAGTAAAAAATTATTAAATTAATCTTTACTTTATTGTGGTTGTAAAAACATCACCCTTAATTTTATTTTAAGCTATTTTTTATCTCACTTAACCTATCTTTACTGATATCCCTAAAATTTCAGTGGTTTTAAAAAGTAACTCTTTGAATTGGTCCATTATTATACTTATAGTATATATTCACTGGCTAAAATATGAAATTAATACTTACACTATTTGAGATAGCCATTTTCACAAATGGATTCTAAGCATGGGTTATTCAAAATAAACGTCCTTTCATCAAATGTGAGGTCGTTTCTTTTCAAGATGAAAAGGATATTCCGAATTTTCTGTTCAAACATAAACCATCCTCATCGTATAAAAACGATACTAAAGTTGACAACTGGAAGGAAGAGCGTCACGTTGCGCAGTTCCGCTTTAATGGTGCTATGGTTTCCTATTGTTACGAAGAAAGTAAAATAAAAATAGAATAAAATATTTGAAAGCGGAAAATGGCAATTACTCTTAGACATGTGGTAGACCGCTACAATTCTGTTGTATATTATTTTTATTTTATTTTGTTACGTATGAGTCATTGAGTTAAGGTGCTGACTTCAATTAAGTTAATGACAATGTATTTTGCTCCCTTTAATGTTGTTGGATTCGAATTTATTTTGAATTTTTCATGATGATTTATTTTGGTTTGTATGAGTTATGATTTAGGTTATAAATATTTACGTGGAGAAGAGAATGAGGTTGCAATTTATTGGAGCAATAAATAATATGGATTTTGATTGGGCAGCTGTTTTTATTTCTGACATGACTATTATCTGAAAACTCGTTTTGTTTAAAATATAAATTTTTTTTTCAATTTTGAAGTATTTCTGTTTCAAGAACAATAGATAGATATATTTTTAAAATATGTTATTCAAGGAAAAATTAATATAATTACACTGGTTATCATAAATTAAGGAAAAATCACAAAAATAGCGATAACTCTTTCAAAAGTAAGCCAAACCGTGCAAAATTTGCATATGTTGTCCACTAAGAGTAGCTGAGTAAAATTGCAATATGCAAATTAGTGGCGCTGCACTCGGCTTACGTCATCTGCCTGGAGCATAAAAGTCNATGTTATAAATATTTACGTGGAGAAGAGAATGAGGTTGCAATTTATTGGAGCAATAAATAATATGGATTTTGATTGGGCAGCTGTTTTTATTTCTGACATTACTAAAATCTGAAAACTCGTTTTGTTTAAAATATTTTTTTTTTTTTAATTTTGAAGTATTTCTGTTTCAAGAACAATAGATAGATATATTTTTAAAATATGCTATTCAAGGAAAAATTAATATAATTAGTTGGGTGTAAATATGAAACATAAAGTAGACAAATTAATCTAGTTATATATTTTAATATCCTTTTAAGGACAAATTTTTACAAATAAAATTCTTCAAAAAAATTGTTCTTAGTTTATTAAGAACCAAATTTCTGTTTTTATACAACAACGGTTTATTAAAAAAAATAAAATTATTATGAATTTTTACGATTGAGAAAATTTTTAACTGAATCAAGATATTCAGAAACAAAACGGATTTTTTTTTATAAAAACCTATTTACTAAATTAATTAAAAAAGTCCTTACACAACTTGATATTTTTTAAAAATTTTCTTGAAATTCTTAATTTTTTTTTGTTTTTATTTTTAAAATTTATAAATATTTACATTTTATTATTGTTTTAAACTTATTTCTCAAATTCCAACTTTTTTTTTCACAGTTTGATTAATACAAAAATTAGGGCTTTTTACTCATTTGTTTAAAAAATAACAAAGTAAATAAATTTTTTTTAAATGGAACAAAAAGTTTTTTACTCTTAAGATAATTTGTGCCGAACTTTTCTAAAGTAAACACTTTATAACAAAAAATCAGAATTAATGAAAAAAATATAAAAAAAATTTCTCTACTCTTTAGATAAATTGTGCCGAACTTATCTAAAGTAAACACTTCTATCATTGTAAGCCATAACCTTAGCTATTTGAAGTGGAACTCGTTCTTATTAAGCTATTTTAAGTGGAAATTGAAGATATAAAAAAATTGTTTGTACTCTCGTTCTATTTCAAAGATTTTGTGAAAAACCGGTATACGTTCAGAATGTATAAGAAAATTTTTTAAAAATACATTCGAAAGTAAATAGAACAGCCTAAATGTTCATTAAGCCTCTTCTTCTGAGTCTCTGTCTTCATATGAACTAATATTATTTGTAAATAAAATACTATTTTTATTGCTGAAGTGAGTTTTTAAGAATTAAGATTCTATGTGGAAAAATCTCGCCAAATTAGTCTCTTCTTTTAAAGTAATTACTCTATCTGTCAGTTTTAAATCCCAGATTAACTTTTGCTTCAAAATAGCATGTATAGATTAAAATTATAGCTATGCTTTGAGCTTAAGGCACTTAACTGCGGGCCTTTTAATTTATTTAATTATTTATTTTTCTTTTTGTGAAAGAACTTCTTCCTTATAATGATTTTTATTTAAAAACTTGTTCTCTAACATAGATTTTTTTAAATATTTTAGTTTCATTTACTTGATATTGGTCACTAAAGGGTTACTCTTTCTCTTGAACATTTTATTTGTGACACCCAACATATTTTTTGGAAAAATTAAAATAACTGCTTAAAGGTGCGAATATTGCCGCAATAGTATATTGTCATTTATATTATATTAAACAATACCATTTATACTATTTAATTATCCTAATATTTACATTAGTACACTATAATTTACCATTATAGAACTCTTGTTAAAGACAAACTATTAACATTGCATAAGTATTCTAAAAAACATTAAGGACACATTATTGACACACTATTATTATTTATTATCAAATACAAAGAATTTAAATTACCACTTACGATTATCATTTACTGTTATATACATATACTTTACCATTATATTATCATTCACCATTATAGAAAAATTATTTACATTACTATTATAAAAAAATTATTTTCATTACCATTACATACACAAGCTGTTATATTGCAACATCATTATACCATTGTTATTGACGCATTATTAACATTAATATTTATCATCAAATACAAAGAATTAAAATTACCACTTACGATTATCATTTACATATACTTTACCATTATATTATCATTTATTTTTATAAAAAATTATTTACATTACCATTACATGCAAACTTTTTATATTGTAACATGTAACATTATTATTTAACATTAAATACAAACAATTTACAAGATAACTTACGATTATAAGCAAACAGTTTACATTATTATTTACAATTATAGACAAACTATTTACTTTGCCAATACATTTTAATTTACTAATGTAGAAAATTATTTACATTGCCGTTATACGCAAGCTATTATACTGTAGCATTATACCACACATACTTATATATTACCTTAATAAGCTTTTATATATTGGCATTACCACTTTTGTGAAATATTTTAACAACAGCAATAACGGTAATACAGCATTTTAGAGATTAATAACATAAACTGTTTACTTGGAAAACAAAATTAAACACCAAGATTTTTAAATAATTGATCTTCCATATATATACAGTAGGGAACCGATTATCCGGAACGATCGGGACCATCGCTATTCCGGATAACTGATATTTCCGGTTTTCTGAATCGCCACAAAAAGCCGTTTTTTTATTGTTAAACCCAACTAAAAAAATTTTCTTTTTGGAAATAATCTTACAAAGAAGAAAAAACGATGGAGTAATACACTAATGATTATTTCCAAAATGATGGTAAGGTAAACATCTTTCAAAAAAGAAAGAAAAATCCTAAAATCTTATGAGGAAAAATTTTTTTTTTTTAAAAAAAAAATGGCGGGACGATTTATCGAATTTCGTTTCGGTTTTTTGGTTTTCCGGTTTTCTTATTTCCGGATAACGGGTTCTGTACTTTTAAGAAACACAAAAGAATGATACTCAAGGTAAAAAAAAATATTATAAACAAATTTTTTCCCTTTAAAACTGAATTACAGACAAATTTATCACTTTCATAAAATTTATTTTAACCTGACTAACTGATGAATATAGGAGTTATGAGCTACTTAAAGAAAGTCGCACAATATACAGAAGAAAAGGTTTTCTAATTGGCAAACTTACTAATTAATTTTTTTCATAATTTGAAAATGTTAGTATAGCTTTCTCTTATCAGATAAACAGTTGATCCGAATCAGAGCACTTACCTTTTTTCAAATCTTAAACATCAACCACTGTCATAAATGAAATGCTGTTCAAGTACTTGGAGCAATCTATTTATCGAAAGCGTCTTAATATTATAAATAAAAATGAAACTTAAACAATGCTGAATTTGAATTGAGAAATAAAAATTAACTTGGATTTCCACAAATCTAATCACCACTTTCATTCTTACATATGTGGAAAACAGGTTTACAACAATTTTATCGATAAAGATGAGGATGATAGTATAAACGTTTCATAAAGAGTAGAAAGAGTTGACCATGAAAATAAGTGTTGTCAAATCCCAAAAACTACGTGAATTTCCACGAATCTGTTTTCATTCTTGCTTTCTGAACATAAATACACTACATAAATGTATAAATTAGATTAAGGTGATAAATTACAGGAAGGTGTTAAGTAGAAAAACGGTGCAACTAGTGTGAATAGCCATTATCGTTAATTTTTTTCGGTGTTACTTTCAACTTTCTCCAACATACTAAGCATTATGAAACGGGGAAATATTATGATGTTTTTCTTACATAGAACATTTTTCCTTTTAAGCTTAAATAGTTGAGATTTAAAAAATATTATTAAGGTACTTTCGGCGACAAAATTTGGAATTGTTTAATTTAGAAATATTTTTTATTTAGATTTATGAGTGTTTTGTACACCAAAACATGGTATAAATACAAAGCAAATTACGAAGCTTTTTTTTAAAAATAAAATAACGAGGGAAACTGGTAAAAAAAAATAAATTGACTTTTTCACAAAATCACATGACTATGTTAATTTTTTTCATTTTTATCATGATTCTTGCTTTACAATATTCATAAAAATTCAACTTAAAGAATAGTCGACGCATTATACAGAATATTGATATTTTGTATTGATGGCTCAATAATTAAATTTTGATGTAATGGACTGTATAAATATTTATTTAATAAAAGTAAATTAGTTGATTAGTTCACGCATGAACTTACATTACGGAGCGATCATACGCTCTCAAAGTGTCAAACAACAAGAATGAATAGTTTTTTGGTTACATTAAAGATGGCTGGCGACCTTAAATCTCGCCAACCGGTAGTTCAACACCAAACATGTATTATTATTATTTATACAGTAGTATAAAAACATATTTTGCAAAAAAGCTTATTTAGCATTTATTTTAGCTGCAAAATAAAATAACAAGGTTAAAATAATAGTTAAAATAATTTAATAAGCATTTTTCTTCTTTATTGCTGCAAAACAAACTAATTTATTTATTAGTTAAAGTCTACACTCATTATTATTAAGTATTTTTTTCATTTATTTATTTTCAATAAAGTTATATTAAAAACTGCTTGTTCGGTGTTTTAGCCGCAGGCTGCGTACCAAACATTAGTTACATACCTATCTTGCCTGTGAATAAATGAACTCTCCTACTTAACATAATGGGCATATGCACTGACAAAAACCAAAAGAACACAGCTTTGACTTAGCTGGTAGTCTAATGTAGTGTTGTTGCAATTTTTTAGAACTGTAGATCATGCAGCCTGAGACTGTCAAAAATATCTTTCAGGAAATTTGCATTGCCTTACAGGGATTATTAGTAAAAGTCTTAATTAACCACAAGATTATTGATAAAAGTCTTAAATAACCACAAGATTATTGGTTAAAGTCTTAATTAATCACAAGATTATTGGTAAAAGTCTTAATTAACCACAAGATTATTGGTAAAAGTCTTAATTAACCATAAGATTATTGGTAAAAGTCTTAATTAACCACTAGATTAATAGTAAAAGTCTTGGTAAATGATAATGTAAAAGTTTTCTTGTTGTTCAAAACTCCTCAAGTCGGAGCACAAAAAACCTGATGAAGCATGTCTGCCAGAATTTCCTTCACATCGGTTTGAATTTTACTCGAGAACGTAACATGATTCCAAAAGAAGATTTTATTGATAAAAATTAAAGTCTTTAATTAATATTTTCGATTAAGTTTTCATATTTCTTTTAATAACTATTCAGCCTATTCAATATAAAAACTTTTTAATGTTTACGAATAAACATAAATTTGCTTGATTTTATAATATTATGCATTAATTTACAAATAGAATTTTGTTAATTTTGCGAAGTCACAATTTACCTTAATCAAAACACTGTCACAACTTTGCAATTGGGTAACTATAGAGAAACAACTGTAAGTGTGAACATTGAGAACCATAGTGTCAAATTTATGTTATTCAAATTACTGTGCACATTGTGATGTATAGTAACAATTTATCAAATTCGAAATTGTGCTAAATGTGAGCATTCAGAAATATAGAGGTAGTTTACTAAACTCAAGTTATTAACAATTGTTGACAATGCGAAAAATTAAATGCAAAATAATGTAATAACTGTTCACATTGCGAACTAGAATAACAATTTTCCTTATTCAATTTTCTATAACAACAGTTTACATTAATAAATAGAGTAACAATTTACTATATTCGAATTACTGTAAGAATTGCTCACACAGCAAACTAACTAATACAATTTACTATATTGATTGTTCACATTGCGAATTACCTAATACGAATTACTATAATAGTTCTTCACATTGTAAACTAGAGGGACAATGTATCTAACTTTACAGTAATAATTGTGAAGTAAACTGCGAAGTAGAGTAATAATTTACATGATTAAAATTAAACAACTGTTCCAATTGTGAATTAGAGTAACAATTTATCTGATTCTAATTACTGTTTATAATTGCTCACTTTCTGAACTACCTGATACAAATTACTGTACTAATTGTTCAGATAGCAAACTATCTAATACGAATCACTATAATAATTGTTCAAGTGGAAACTAGAGTGACAATGTACCTAAGTCGAAATGTTGTAAAAACAGTTCACCATTAAGAACAAGAATAATAATTTACCTAGTTCAAATTATTGCAAACAACTGTTCACATTGCGAACTATCTAATACAAATTACTGTTCTAATAGTTCACATTACGATCTATCAAATACGAACTACTATAATAATTGTTCACTTTGAAAATTATAGGGATAATGTATCGAATTCGAATTACTCTATTAACTGTTCATCCAGCGAACTAAAGTTATAATTTACTTAATTGGAATTACATTAACAACTGTTAGTATCATGAACTAATAAAAGCAGCATGCACATATTACCTGATTTTTCTTTTCTTTTGAGTAAATATCTAATTTCAGAAATTTTATGGTTAGACAAATAATTAAAATATCCCTCTTCAAAAGGTATTTATTTCTCGAAAGAAAATATTTTTCCAAAGGCAAATGAGAAGGAATTTTGTATGAAAGACTTCATCTCTAATTGACTGTGTGGTAAAAACAGCTGAAATAATGAAAGATCACGTGAACAGTTATTCAGAAACACGCATACTTTTAGATGAAAATCTTTCAAACAATTTCAGTTTTCGTTGGAGTTTCGAATTATAAAAATATAATTGATGCAATAATAGGATTATTTCAAAAGAGATGACCGTTAACTATTTTTTATTTTGCTAAATGAATCAAGCCGCGGCAGCATTAAGAAATGTTTGCGAAGTTAAGAGAAATTTTTTTATTATAGTTGACCTTGAAAGAAATATATGATATACATCAGCATCATATAATTTACTGTTTCCTTTCATTTAAACTCTTAATTTCAAAAATTGAGAATATATGATTAGTTACACTTTAAATACATAAATATGCTTTACAAACAACAAATATTTACAAAATGATGGTAATTTGTTTGTTTTAAGAAAAACTTTTTGATACATGTACTTTCAGTTTTTCATCTTTCATGTTTTTAAAAGTACTGTCAAATCACTGTTATATGTCATTTTTATTAGAAGAACGCTTTTAATTATTTTGTGACTTTTTTCAAATATTGCCAACATATCAAACAACAATAAAAAACAAAATAATTAAGCTTCATTATTTTCACAAAAGAATATATAATTTGAGTTTTCTCTAGCAACCTCTATTCAAAAATTCTGGTTTCTAATGAAGTTATAAGACTTTAAAGTTTGGATGACAAAAGTTTTTATAAATTTCTTGGAATTAAAAAAAATAAAAAATGCACATTAGTGTAGAGTTTATAAAATTTTTTTGATTCACTTACGAGATTTTTTGACCAACCTTTTTCCATTTTTTAGCTAATACGAAGTAATTTTTAAGTAATTTATTAATTATTTTCAATAGTAACCTCTATTCGAAAATTCTGGTTTCTGATGAAGTTATAAAAGTTTAAAGTTCGGACGGCAAAAGTTTTTATAAATTTCTTGAAATTAAAAAACAAAAAATGCACATTAGCATAAAGCTTATAAAATATTTTTGATTCGCTACTGAGATTTTTTGACCAACCTATTTCCATTTTTAGCTAATATGAAGTAATTTTTAAGAGATTTGTTTCAGCTATTGTTTACAAAAATGTAGTTTATGTAAAGTTACTTTAAAATCATAATTTAAAAAAATAATAAAACTTTAAAACCATAGTTATACTGCCGTAAATTTAAAATATTTATATTGTCCTTGTATCAGAAGTAAATTTTCCAATATATTTGTAGAAAAATAACATCAGAATTGCTGTAAAAGTGAGAGAATATGAAAAACAAAAATTTGATTTTTCAGGTACTATTCAACTGAATTTGCTCAAATTTTGTATTTTGTCGTGTAAAACTACATTCTTTAAAATGATATAAAACATTTTTAACCTTACAATTCAAATCTTTTTCTACTATTATTAAATGAAATAATAAATATTAATCAAAACTTATTTTTTACATGGAATTATTTTTGGATAAACGAATTTCATAATTTTCAAAAAAATCTAATTCACTTAAAATTTTTCCAAAAATTTGGATAACTACGTAAAAAGTAAAATTAACATTGAGAGTTCTATGAAAAACTAACATTAAGGGTTTCAACCGTTCCCCTGACAAAACTATTGTTACCATATTTCCTAGATTGTGGATAAACCCCAATATTATGACGGGTGTCAGAAATCTGAATCCATCATAAAAAAGGTGTGTTTATTCAGAGAAAGTATGTTTTTGTTTTTGCTTTCGTAACCTTAATTATCGTCTACCTACACTAATCTTAGTAGCATATTCGAGGTCATCCTCCTGAAACCTTTAAGATTTAGTCTTAGAACATGAAGATC